GTGATGATGTGAAGACACATCATTATTATTTTCACCCAGGGGCCATACGACCGGGAGGGGGCCGAGTGACAAATACAAAGCTCGGTGGCAGCGGACGACGGAGGCCTCCTAATGACATTCGTACCAAGCAGGACACCCAAAGCTGATTGGAATCCGAAAACGGTTACCGTGCACAGAGACAAATTATGACACAGAAAACTATTATTAAGGGGTGTGTGGTGGGGGGGGGGGGATGCATGTCAAAGAGTTTGCACAACTTACAAGATTTACCCTGAAGCCGAGATTGCACCATGCAATACACACGCACGATTCTTAGTATTCAAGGTTAAAGTGTCTCTCTGCTAAAAACATGGGAGTGGGGAGGAAGAGGCCCACTGGTGGCCCCCGAGCCCCGTGGTGAAAAAGTCACTTTCCCCGAGACAAGCGCTGCTCATTCCCTACAAAGTGCTGCTCATTTTACGCCCCCGAGAGGGATGAATGGCCGAGTCTACCCCCAAGCAGGATTTTAACTTCTTATGATGAGTTGAGTGCGCATGACAGTGCCATCGTTTTAGTCTATTAAAGTGTGAAACAAATGGCTGTTGACATTTAACAATGTTGCGGACTCGGCAAACGTTTTAAGCAATTGCATTCATAACATTGCTCCTAACTATTGCGTGAGAAAAAAATATTGTAATGTACATAATAAAGAACAGAATGTCACTTATTACCCAAGGAATTAAATCCATCATTCACTACCCCACACCAAGTGCTGTATACTGGTCCCATGATCATGGCATCCTTTCAAATGTCAGATATTATAGCAGAGAAACCTCAAGTCCGCAAAACATTTTAAGTGTGGGAACTATAAAAGCGCGCATCGTGAGCAGAGACAAGGTCCGAGTCGTGTGATGGACTGGCAAGGTGGCGTTGCATGGCATGGGGCTTCGAACCTCGTCCCTTTACACACGAGTGCACAAATTCACCGAAAATTAATATTTATGTTCCTGTAACTTCATTTTACTTTGAATTGCTTTTAAAATTCAGTTGTGCAAGACAACTTACTACTCAAAATTTAACATTGTTTGTGCACCGTTTCCAATTTCTTTTGTAAAATGGTTGATTTTGCTCTAATCTGAATGTCATTGTTTCTGCCCCGATTTCTATTTTAGTTCATTGTTATTTTTTTGTTTTTATGTTAAGCTTTTCGTAATTTTGGTGACCCGGGTCACTCTAGCACAGGAAGCCAACCTAGTCTCTTTAGTTCTCACCTGATTATGCAAAATAAACGTGAAACTTGAGAATGAAAAATACAAACTGTGTGCGTATGGTCTCACGAAGTACAAACACAACTACGGTCATCTTAGTCTTAACTAGCACACTGGAATACTCTAAGGTGTGCGAGGGTTTGTAACATAATCACCGTCCAAGGTGAAGGTGGCAGAGGCAAAGCATTGCACTGAATTATGGATCTGTGGCCAATCCGCGTGATGCCTTTCGTACCAAAATTGCCACCGACTTCAATAAGTGCCGTCTCATCCACATGGTGTTCAACCACCACACCGCAGGTCACCACAACACTTCTCGCTCTCTCTCCGCTTACCTCTCTTTCACTGCTCAACTTTTGAGTTTACCTTTGAAAAGAAACGCGTACACTTCTCTTGACAACTTTGACAGTGCCCGTTTGTTGCTTGCCCGCTTGACGTTTTGGACCTCTGGGCCTGTGCTCAGTAACTGCGTCAATAAAAGTGCACTTAAAACATTCACATTGGAAAACTATTACACAATAATACTCACAAAGAAAGACGAGGCTAATAAATTGTAAATTCACTTAAATTCTCTATTGTATACACCAGTCAGCATAAGCTCATGGCAGTTCAACGTTATATGCATCGTGCGCATGACTGTGTGTGAAGATTAGTGTGGCGATAAACAGCTTTTGAGATAAAGCAAAAACCAAGACATCGATGCAGTACCTAACACTTATGGTCGACCCTAAATATAAATATAATAGCTGTTACATTGCTATACGATGCACAATAGCAGTGCACCCATGGGTTCTTCTACGTGTGGGATTTGTGCTGCTCGACCATCCTGTGTACCAACCCGCACGTTTCCAATGCGTAACCGGGTGTATCATATCCGTTTAAAAAAACCACGGGAACATTGCGCCGAGCATTCACACAACTCTGTGCTCCGCAGCTTCAATCGTAGGCACAAATGCCCAATTCATATGCGTGCGGGTTTTCTTGTTCCGGCCCGTTTGTTCGACACAGATGCATTCATCACACGGAGTGACTGCACTGCACACACCCGCAAAAGCATTTGCACTGTAAGGTGTGGGGTCGCCGGGTTAACGAGTTCAGACGAAGCAGCGATGTCACATCCTCCTCCCGTTTCCCCGAAGGGTGAGACGGGTCCGTCGCGTGACTAGTGGGCCAAGCAGGAGGATGTCAAACCGGAGCGGATCAATCTCATTTCATTCCCGGGCCCTGTTCCTATTTCCCTGCAGTCACGCCCCGTGCTGAACCGCTTCCGTTCAGCGTAATGCTACGCGCGTTTTACTTTGCGTAGGCAGGCAAACATCGATGCTGTAAAACGTGACTGCGTACACAACTCAAATGCTGTCTGTAAAATGTATGTATGTCGAACTTTTTACGCACCGTGCTAATCAGAGGTGCGGGGAAAATTCCATTTAAATAGCCAATGTTCCCAAAGGAGTGTTAGAAAATTGAAAACCTTGAACAAGGATTTAATATTGTCTATTATTTCTAACATTCTTAACGGATTTGGGTTAAATCATGTAATGCTCTGACCAGTACCCAACATAGAAGTGGCCAGTCCATTACATAGCCCCTAACCAAAAATCTATTACGAATCGATTTGGCTGCGAAAACTTGCATGTTAAATTCTTAACAGGATTCGTATTCATTTGCCTCGGAAGTGGCGACATCCAACGGCCGGGAACGCTCACATTTTGTCCCCATTGTGGATTTACCGACATTATGTGGCACCACCTCGTGGCAACATCCGAGGCGCCCGCTGTGCGAGATGCCCAGCCCAGCACGGCGAGTAGTTTCGTGTTAATGCGGGGAATTGATCGGCAATTCGTAGGCATTGGGGAAAAAAAGAAAACCTCTAAAAAAATCATTCAACGCTAACAACTTGTCGAAGAAGCGAGAGAATAAACCATGGAGGAACGCTCGTAACACATTCCTAAAAGATTACCAGTGCCCACTGACCAAAGAAGCGATCTTTCATTGAGGCTTAATTTTAAACCAATGCTTGCGTAAATGTGAAATGCAACATTGCAGCTTGACTGAAGTTCCTGCATGAAGCAGCAAACAGCGAGATCCTCAGATATGGACAAACACAAACCGTTCACAGATGAATTTCCCTGCACTGGCGCGCGTGCTTTTGGTAAGCAGGAGCTGTCAGCGAAGACGTGACAGATGTACAACATGACCGGACCGAGATTTATCCTGTCCGAGGACAACAGAGCTGCATCGCACGGTCATATATTGCGTGCAAGGCATGCGGCGAGCGTGAATAACGTGACAAGAGTGATGTGCCGAGTGTGTCGGTCCATGAAGGGCTCTGCTTATGGAGATGTTTGTTTTACGTTGGGTACTGTGGCGTGGGCGTGTGGTGTGCGGCGCCGATCGTTGTGGTGCTTTGCGACGTGTCGGCGTGTCATGCGACGCATCACCGTGCAGGTGGTCGTCGTGCCGAGAGTAACGCCGGGGTGCGACACCGCGGGATGTGGGCGCGCCACTCTACTGCGCCAGCAGCGTCGACACGCGTATCTTGCCGTCCATTGACGCGGTGAGGCACATGCCGCAGTCCATAGCCGTGGTCCACTCTACGGTGACCACAGGGGCGCGATGCCCGCCCAGCGTGAGGCACGGCGAGAGCGAGCCCGACTCCAGGCGGTAGACGATGCCTCCGTGCGCGGAGCACGTGAGCACGTGCTGCCCCGACGAGGGCTCGAAGGCGAAGAGCCGCCCGCGGGGCGCGTGCGTCTGCTTGTACCCGCTGCAGCCGCACACCTCGAAGGGGCCCGCGGCGTCGGCGTGCACCTCCAGCTCGGCCACGCGCGCGCCCTCGCGCTGCAGGTGCCACTGCGTGAACTTTCCGTCTGCGCCCATGCTGAACACGCCCGTCTCGTCGCCGCTGAACTCCACCGAGCACACCTCGCCGTGGTGCGCGCGCCAGCTCATTAGGCAGTCGTAGCGCTGCACATCGTACAGGCGGATCAGGCCGTCGGTCGCCCCGCACACCAGCAGGTTCCCGTTGTGGTTGAAGGACACGCAGGTGATGGCGACGGGCTCGGGGTCCAGCGTGAACAGGTGCTGCTGACGCAGCGTCTTCGCGTCCCACAGAGACAGCTGGCCCCGTGTGGCGGACCCCCCGGCCGCTTCCGGAGGCGACGTCCCGTTGCCGTGGGCGCTGGCGGCAGCCCCGCACACGAACGAGCCGCCCGTGGGGCTGCAGGCAAGCGCCAGCACGCGCGGGTATGCCATGTCCAGGGTGACGTCCGCCACGGACTTCTTTTGGTCGGTGTCATAAAAGCGCACACTGCCGATGCCACTGCCAAGCAGCAGGAGACGGTGCGGCTTGGTCGCCCACTCGAGCGACAGGAGCGGAGACTTGGCCATGACCGTGGTGTGCGTCTGGGGGGTCGGGCTGCAGGACCACACCTTCACCACCCCATCCACATCCACACTCGCCACCCGGCTCCCTGACGCGTCGAACTTGCAGTGCATTATGGGCGAATGGTGCTCGGAATACTCCTCTTGGCAGAGCACGAGGAAGGGCTGCTGGGAGGCTTCTTCGCGATTGATACGCGCTGCTCCCGAAGCGGCGACGGCGGTGGCGGATGCTTTACTCTGCGCCTCCGCTTTGCCGGGAGAGTCTGTTGCGCTCTGCTCCGAGTCGGGCCGTTTCTCCACGCCGAGGGCGGACGGCTTGAGAAGCTGCTGACGGGATTCCCGCTCCGACTGCCCATTGCGGCGCGCACGCTCCGTCTGCCGCCCGTCGCGCGCACCGCCACTGCGCCCACTTTCGCACACCGCGGCGTCTTTGCGCAAGGGCGTCGTTTGTTTCTTCACCGAAGAGCTTTTCTGAGCGGATCCAGACGCCTGCCGAGACTTCTGCTCCGCAGTAACGGCCACGTCGGCTTCGCCCGCTCGCACGGAAGGCACGTCGGCCAGTTTCCTGGGTTTCTGAGCCTCAACCTGTCCATACAGCTTGAACCTCAAAGCCTCGTTCTCCTCTTGCAAAATGTTGCTCCTCTGCACCTCGGAGTCGAAACACAACAAGCTGGGCACCGGCATCGTGTGCAGCAGAACGCTCAAGAAGTTGTGTAGCGAGAGCCAGAGGGTGTCGCTCCACTGCTTCGTGAAGTAAGCGCTGAAGGTGGAATGCGTCTCTGGGCTGGGCAGGAATGGAAGAGCAAACCACTCCCTCCACTCGGAGGAGCCGTGCAGCTCGGGGCCCACGCGCTGGAAGAACTCGAGCGTCTTGTCAGGCCGGCCGGCTTGCACGCTGTGCGCAACGTACGCTCGCAGCACGCCCGTGCGCAGCTTGCACGTGGTGAGCAGGTGCGCGTGCTCGAGGCGCGAGAAGAGTCGCTTCTCCAGGTGAGCCCACAGATCACGTAGTGACTGCAGGTCCAGCGAGCTCACGCACAGCTGTGACGGCGGCAGCAGCAGGGGATGTCGCAAGCGGCGTTAATCAACACAACATAAACGCAATAATTTGTACACTTAGACTTTGGGGGAGGCCATATAATGATCAGGCCAAATTGTGTTAAGACCCTTCACCACCAGGCACAGCCAAAACGTGCTAAAATTGTTCAACTGTGTGCCAGCATTTAACGTGCCAATTGTTATCGTTTTATCTCAACGGTTAAATCTAAGGACAATTCTCACAACCAAATTTGAACGTTAGAAATTTACGACTGTTAGGCGTGTACAAAATGTAGCAGGTCAACAATAACTGTGGGCAGTGGTTATCCCCTGTTTACAGCCCTGAGCCAGTGGAGGAAATTCCACATTCATGTGACAGGGTGGAGGTCGATCCAAAGTGCAACAACGGTTGACTAACCACAAGATAGCGCTAATTGTATCGACCCTGGCTAGATGAAGCACCAAGGAGGTGCAGCATACGGAGAGCTGCGATAACAAAAAGGGCAAAGGCAGATTGGCAAGGAGCGACAGCTGAATACAATCACGTGACAGAGTTGAGCAATCCTGGCGTCATTGAAATGAATGGAAAATTATAAGATTACAATAAAATGTAAAACTAGCAAACAGTTAGGGAAATGGTACTAGAGGAGATAAGTTGCCAGAGGGAAATGAGCTTATGGACAAAACACCGAGAATGGTGGTGATGGTGATGAATGGAGTGACGGTTTGAATCTCTGCAAGCGATGAACACAACAGATGTGAAGCACATGAGAGAGATTAAGGAAAGCGACACGCAGGCTACAGTGGCACCACTCGGGGTGATGACGCGGCCCAGCGGTGGCGTGTTTTGCCCTTGTCGCAGAGGATCATGGTTCGAATCCGGCAGGCTGCCCTGGTTATTGCTGCGGGCGTATTAACCAGAAAAAACACGTTGTCCGCTTTGCACCGGATGTTAAAGATCGCCTCAAAATGAGTAGGCCACTGTCTGCCGGCCAGTCCATATTTTCCAAATTCAAAGAAATTAGACCACAAAATACTGAATTGGGATTACATGTAGCAACGTCGCCCCGTACTGTGAAACTACTGCAGACTTACGTCCGTGAAACTTAGCGCCTTCCTTCACGATAGCCTTCTGCCAAAAGAATGGTTGTGAATACCAAGCTTCGTGGGCAGCAGGGCTGAGAAATGAGTTCAAAGAAAGCATCCGTGGAGTTTTGTTCCAGACGGCACGGGGGGGGGGGGGGGGGGGCTTTAGTTACCACACAAAAGATTTCTGTGCAGGCAAAGTGTCTGAGAAGACAGGGCACCAGGTACAGAGACAAAATGACAAATGATGTGCGTGCAAAATGGTTGGTGGAGGAACAGATTAGCCAAGGTGGTGGCGAAAAGCAGCAATGGAGAAAGATAAGCAAATTGATTGAAGGGTCGATGGAGCGAGGGGGAAAAAAGACGGCAGAGTTGGAAGGACATCAGAAATCAGCACGGGCTGGGATATGAATACATGAAAGAGGATGCAGAATGAAAACGTTCGAAGTTTTCACATAATAAATTAAGAGCAGCTAAAAAGCCACGGAACAAAAAAGTTCAGAAAATTGCAGGGATAGATTTGTCATTAACTAATTCTCTATGTTCTGTGATGGGCCATTTCGTGAAACGTCGCCCATTCTCTACATTTTATTTTTACGGCTGTGTTATTGACAAATGTGTTGAGTCTTTCCGTTATTTTAACTTTATGACCTGTCCTTTCAAACACACTTTCTCTCCCGCAGCTGTCTAAGTTACTTATGAAACTCTTGCTTGGTTATTTTCATGTTGGTGTGCCATTTTACACCCTCTAAAAATCCCTCCGAACTGCAACCACTTCAGAATGAGCTCCACCATTGCTTCGATTACACAAATTAGTTTTCTTCGTACAAAAACAGTGCACCCAATCAGACACTGGACAGGAATGTCAAGAGTTCATCTCGGTAAAAAAACTAAACAAGGTCATAAATGTATTATTGGACGACATATAAATTGGTAAAATATCACCATGTAAACGAGCAGTGTTTAGTTAATTTTAATGCTACTGTAACCACAATACTATATTGCAATTTTCATCTCATTTTTGACCTCATCTCAAGGCGTTATACAGTCGGTATATTTTATAGAGTGAGGCCAACAGTCGTAGGCAGAGAGAAAAGGGAAAGTCTTGAACAAAGGCGGGGAGTCGGCAGCATGGTTGGCTGGGGGAGAGGAGAATGAGCAAACTCACAATGAGCGAAGGATGACTGGGACCTTCAACAGAAAGCCTTGATTGGTGGAGCAGAGTGTATATGAAGGGGATTAGAGTGAGATGAGAGGGGAGAGGTCAGAATAGGCGAGTGCATGGGGGGGATCTTGAAGACGGTGAATGTGATCTTGAAATCGATCTGGGATTAGATTGGAAGCCAGTGGAGGGATTGAAGTATTGGGGTGATGCGGTCCCTTGTCTGAGGGTGGGTGCAGAGTCGGGCAGCAGTAATTTGTGGAGTTTGGAGAGGAGAGATTTGGGAGGCCATAGATAGATAAGAGAGTTGCAATATCCAATTCTGGATGTGGTGAAGGCATGTTTTGTGTGTTGGGAAAGAAACCGGCGTTCCTGGAAGAAACACTCAAATAGTTTGCGCAGATGGATTCAAGAACCAAATGTACTAAAATATCGTGGCAACCTCGAAGCCCAATGGGTTTGGTAAGTTTCACAAACCCACACGATCCACCAGCTCTTGCCTCTAAGCATGCTGAATCACGCATGTGTCACCACGCCAGGCCCTGCACTGGAAACACGGTTCTGAAGAGCACAAGGGGCAGACTTCATGAAAAAGGTGGACACTAGTCTTGTGGAAGGTGGAAAGCAGTCTAAGTAAATTTTCCCAGACCAATGTTTTTGCCCTCCAACTGCACCCCCTCCCGCAGCTCTCTTGTTGAGCTAAAAGGCTTCCACACTAGTCTCAATACAAATGTGAGTATCGATGCTACAAAATAAGACCGAGCCACTTCATAAACATCCTTTAACATTTATGACAAAAAATATATTTTGCCACCATTTCCTACATTTTCAGCATGCTTACAAAACCTCGGCTCTTCAATCTCCACTGGAATACAATTTCGGAGCATTGAACTATAAACTCGCCCAAGACGAAATATATATGCTTTGGGGATGTATGTAGAACTTATTTTCACCATACGTAGCCAACCATGCTAATGGGAGAGATGCACAAACCCAATCCCCTATCTGACAAATCAGACACAAGTGGTCGCAGCAGAGCTGCTACAGCTCTGTTCTAGCTTACTTTATGCTGCATTCTGGGAATACACGGAATGAGGGAGAATCATGGACAAACCTGCAATGAAAGCTAAACATGTTTTAACACTTTTGTTCCTTGATGTCATTTTTGCGAGCAAAAGCAATTCAAATGAGCCTTGGCCTCGCTACAAGTACCCAGCGGTGGAAATGTAAACGCGGAAGTGTCAGTGTGAAAACTATTCATCCTGCAGGCCATATTCCCTGCCGTGTTCCATCTGAAAAAAATCATCTTAGAGTAAAAATATGAAAAGTTCTGAAAAGTGCTGGTATACAGGTTTGGTGTAGTGAGAAGTGCCGGTATGGTGTACCATTGTATAACAGCCCATTTTCACCACGACGCAGCCCTGACTGTGAAGACAAAAGGACAAATTGTAATGTGTAACAGCACCACTTGTGTGGTTTTTTTTTTGCTGAGTAGATGAACAATAACACTATCTAAGTCTGCCATGTGGTGGGTCATCAAGCTGGTCAAGGACAACTTCTCCCAGCTGAGAGAGAGGCAGCCGCTTCACTTCCCTCATTAGCAAGCTGCGAGGAGCATCGTGGCAAACGCACACCGTTTCACTCGGCTGATTTTCTAATTTGTTGAACAATTTTCTGGTGAGGGTATCTGTCTATCTCAAGGCTGTGGGTTGAATAGTATTCGTGTATTCCAATAAAGGTGAAAGCCTACATTTAGGTGGACTAGATAAATAAGACAATCTGCCTCCTTTACATGTGTCCCTCCACGTAAAAATTTTCTGTACACATCCCATCAGCCACACAGCCTTCTGGGAGTGCGTAATTTTAGCAACCAGTTGTTCAAAACAAGCAAACTGGGTCAATTTGAACATTCAATGTCTCATCAGCAGTCAGGCTTGCTTAAACCAATGCTCGTGAATTGCCAGATGTTTATCGGAAGACCCTCTCTTAGAAATAGGTCCTGTATAAGAAGTTGGGTGGCTTCAAAGGAAAGGAGGGGGAGGGGGGGTGATCATGGCAGCGCCCTCGTTGATTCAACACAAACGAACTCATGTCATTGCTACTCAGACCTGGATTGTTCCCAGTGGCGACTGCAAGCAAGGGGCAAGAGGTCGAGCATTAATATTCCTCATGCCGACAGCAAAGCAGATGGGAGGGGGGGCACAATGGTACGGGTAAAGATGCAAAGTGACAGACCAGGCGGGCGTCATGCGCGCCTCCTGGCAGCCCGACGCCAATCCGCGGCACCGGGTAGGGGGGCCCTCGCGCGGCACCAGCTGCTCCTACGGGAGTGGGGCCCGGCCCTGCGCCGTTGCAACGCGGCACGCGCATCGGGCGACCTTACGCGCTGCGGGCGACCTTACGCGGTGCGCTCACTGCGAGACGAACGACGACTCGACCCAACGCATCGAGGAAGAGCGTGGCCCACTTTCACCGTGCACAAGTCTCCGCCCAGTTAGGTAATTGTATACACACTATAAACTGGCAGAAACATGCACAGAATGTAAAGTCACGTAGGTAAGATGCAGCTATCCTCCTGTGACTGTTCCACCTGAAGACGGAAGGCTTGTGTTGCCTCCGAAACGTCGTGATTTAATTTAGTTGTTTTCTTTTATTTTTAATTTTATTTTACCGACGTGACTTTACCGAAAAAAACAAAGAGTATGAATCCTTGCAGTCACGAAAGCTTAAAATCTAGAATTAATGCACAGAATGG